GGCCCCCCCTGTGCCTCCCCTGGTGTTCGCGAAGCGCGTGGCCTTTTTCACTCTGTCCTGCGATTTAGAACGGCTTGACCGTGCTACCTTGGGCTCCAGCCCCGGCTGAATAAAGGGCAGGGTGGACAGGGGTGTCGGGTGCATTATAGTTTGCTCTGTGGGTATGGACCCGTGGGGGGGTGCACCCAGAAGGCCTCCTTTCTTTTTGCAACGTTTCACTGGTTCGCCTGTAGTGCGGACGTGTGCTCTGGGCCTCAATGGGGAGGATTGTCGGCCCGGGTCATTATCTTGCAGTCTGGGTGACCCCGTTTTCCAGGTCATTATTCTTGACCTTATGAATCCAATTTCTTCAAAGCACAGCTTTTGAAAATAAGGGCGTGGAGAGCTTCATGAGCACTAACTCATGGGCCCCCGTAGTGATAGTGCGATTGATGTTCTCGGCCCGATAGCCGTTCTCTTTCAAGGGCCTCCTCTTCCCCTGCCTCCACCCAGGGGGACACCGGTGTCGGGTGCATTATAGTTTGCTCTGTGGGTATGGACCCGTGGGGGGGTGCACCCAGAAGGCCTCCTTTCTTTTTGCAGCGTTTCACTGGTTTGCCTGTAGTGCGGACGTGTGCTCTGGGCCTCAATGGGGAGGATTGTCGGCCCGGGTCATTATCTTGCAGTCTGGGTGACCCCGTTTTCCAGGTCATTATTCTTGACCTTATGAATCCAATTTTTTCAAAGCACAGCTTTTGAAAATAAGGGCGTGGAGAGCTTCATGAGCACTATTTATATAGATATTGCGGAGCAATCCTGGGTTCTGTAGAAGCAGTTGCTTCCCCTGATCTTTGAAACACATCGCAAATTGGATTTTCCAGTCAACAACTGCCAGGAGCTACTTTCTTTCGTAATATAGTAACATAGCCGTCTACAAACCAGGGGTCGTCCATTTCCATCTTAGTGAGCCAGAGTGCAGTGTACATTAGATCTAGCATTTGGTAGAAGAACTTCGGAACACCTAGGACCCCATGTCATACCATAAAACATGTATATATAAAACATGTAAACATATCGATGGTTTTTCTGAACCAGACGATAGACCACCTTGGACCAGACGAGGGACGCGCCCCTGACTGACGCAGGCGGTGGAGCAGCCGAAGGTCCGAGTGGCGGGCGATCCGCAGGTGTCGCCCGGCGAAGCCATGAAGATGCTGCGTGCAGGCGCAACATGGGCGGGTGGGTGAGATCTCCATTGAAGAAGTATCAACTTACCGAACTTATCAAGGCTCTCACCAGCCAGCCTTGATTCCGTGTCTATTTTGGGGGACCCATTCCGAGAATCTGCTCTGAAGTCCACCATGTTTAGTAATCTAGTAGTGTATGTGGTTCTAGTTGAAAAAGGGGCTGCAAACACAATATGCACTGTAATACATCTGTCATATATAATTAGGCCGGCGGGCGGACTGTATGCTGTAATTCCCCACCCCGATTAAAGTTTACTCGATTACTGAAGAGGATCTCCCCCTGTATCTCCAGGTTGGACCATGCTCCCATGGCTACCTGCGAGGGCCATGGCGATGGGATCAACCGCCACACGTCTCAGGCAACCGGCGCTATGTCCTGGGGAAGCCGGCAGCCACGCGCACCAGTGATGGGATGCGGCTGGAATTGCTGGATCAAGGTGACCAGACGGAGCGCGAGATGTCGCAACGGTTGGGTCGAGTCGATGACTTTACCCAAGGCCCAAGGGTGATGGCGAGTTAGTTGAGTTTGCTCACAGCATGTGACACACTCGTCTTCCTGAGACGACTGTCCAACAGCCAGCACCACAGGAGGTTCTGCCTTATGAGTCACATGAGCAGCAGTCCAAGGAAAACTGCAATCATGGATTGCTGTAAGATGCACACGAAGAAGCATTGCCCCTAAACCTTGGCAAAAAGGCTTGTTCCAAGATGCATTAGAGTTCGATCTGGTCCCTTCCGGTTGTCACCACTATATACTCGACTGATCTCTGGAGGTGGACGCTGATATCCCAAGAGGAACCAAGAGGATTGCACCAAGTAGGTCTGGGTCGTCCGCACCTGCATCGACCCCAAGCCTCGTCTGCACACGACGAGATGGTCGATATGGTCGTCCATGACGTGGGTCTCAATCACGAACCGAGCCCCCATCCGAGCCCCCCCGGAACCAGCCAATCGGAAAGACCCACATTGAACCAGCAATCCGAACGCTCCAAATGATTGAAACACCTGGACCTAGCACGTGGCCTATTTTTGAAGTGTAGTATACCATGGTTCAACACTCGTCCACGATCAGCTATTTTCGATGGTGAGGGGTGATACCCCCCTTGGCAGCCGAGGTCAAGCGCCCCACACGGCGGTCATCGGTCACTGGGCACGACCGGCCATGAGGCCTTGAGTGGCGCCCCGGGGCGGAGGGCCCTGGTGTGACTTCCCCCCCTTCAAGCGGCCGCGGCTGCTTGCAGTCATGTGACCAGAGAATGCTCTTTTTTGGACCCAAGTGACACTTGAGACCCAAGTGCGTCACTTTCATTTCACCTTGCTGATCCTTCTTTGACCAGTGCCAACTACAAACAACCTGTTTGTGTTTGTGTCAAACGAGCGAAGCCATTGATTGGTAGGGAGGAGGAATGAGGAGGAACTATGTTTTGGAAGGTCTCAAGGCCCCCAACCTTCAAAATTACAGCAGATGCCAGATGGTGGTATCATCATGGAGATACCCGCTTGTTATCGCACTATGTTTTCCTGTAGCTGCACCCACTTTTGTATAGATTCGTGTTATTATTGTCGTTGATGTTGTTGTTAGTGGCAAATGTTACACTCAGGAAAAATATCACATGCACCATGGAGACACCGGACCGCAACAGGACTTCAGGTGCATTTTGCAGGACTGTATAAATGGATGGTCACAACAATATACAAAGCGTGCCCGAAAACAATCGAGCATTTCATCAGGAAACGCACAAACAACAGAGGCTGCAAGAATTTGCGCTCAGAGTTTGAGATTGTTAGACAAAATGGGCGACCCCTGATCATAACAACATGTTAGGAAACCCTATGGTTCCCTTGGAAGTTCCTAGGGGAAACATAATAATATAGTTAATTCCACGGTTCACGACAATCAGGACAACACAAAGAATTTGTGCTCGTGAATCTGGAGATGGTCACAGGACAGTTATGTGGCCAGACATGGCATTTCTCAGGGATTCTTTATTAAGTCTTGACGATGAGGGTCACCTGGATAACACAGGGGGATCATTGAGGAACCAGTTCTGGTGAACCCAAACCCTTCAGGTTCAGTCCACTGAGGTTGTGCAGACTCTCGTGCTCCTGTGGAATCCATTTTTGATGCGCTTCCGGGAGACATTTTCGTCTTGCGCAACGCCGGGAACACCTGCACACACGCAGAAGGACCGTCTTTGGGGGGGGCAAGCGTTGCCGGTGTTGGTTTGAGGCAAACCCTGCGAGAGTGGTTTGAAGGCTGCAGTCGCATCTCATGCGACAACTTGTCCAAATCACCGACCGACGGTTTGCTCGCCAAACGGCTAAAGGAGGAGAATGGCAGTTTATGAACACCTCACGTATTGTATAGCTGAGTTTTGTTTTATCCAGAAATGATGTTGACACCCTTCATGCTTTGCGTCTTGCATCTGCCAGGCAGCATGGTTGGCAGCCTGGAGTTCTGCATTGGCAAGTTGAAGTCTCTAGGCGTATTCCCTTTCGCAGCACTTTCACGAACTAAGGCACACCAAGCCTCTCCGAAACGTCCGAGGAACACCAAGCCCCTGAAGAGGGTTGTCCGAACTAAGGGATCTGAATGGTCAGGATAAGATTACAGCTTGCAACCTACATGAGGTACTTACAACCTAAGTGGGGTCACGCAGGCAGGGATGACGCCTCCGGGGTACTAAGATGCATGGCCTACGGCCTGCGTTCGAACCTGACCATTTGGTCACGAGCTCGCATTCTGTAATCCGCACCTCCCCTTTCGGGGTCTTCTCACAGGTAAATTCAGAGGACCCCCACGTAATATAATTCATCCTTGCCGAATGATTTCCATGTGCTTGGCTGTAGTTCTTGGGCGGGCACGAGGATTTCCTGGTGTAGGTTTCTAGTCTGACCTGACCTGCTAGGATTTCTGGTTCGGCCCATATCCTTGCCGGCAGCGCCTGGGCTGATGCGAGGTCCCGGCTGGTCTTGGTCCTGGGCCACACCAAGTGCGGTGCGGTCTACGGTGCGACCAAGGCGCAGTCTGTGTGCAGTCTGTGTGCCTCTGGGTGCTACGAGACCCAAGATATCAATATGCCGAGTGCGATTCAGTTTGGGCGGCTTGGGTTTCGCTCATGCTGACAGTGATCTACCAATACGTTGCTGAGACACCTAGTTTTCAGTGAGGTGCACTTGCAGAAGAAAAAGGAGGCGGTCTCAACTACCACTGCCTTGGATGGCCTTTTGTCTGGCTTGGCTGTGGTGGCTGAGAAGGTGCCAAGTTGAAAAACTGAGTCGGTGTGGAGGTCAAGGGAACCAAGAACCACTATGTCAAAGTTGTTTTGGGGAAACTACGGGCACACTATACATGAGGTCTGACCTTTTCCCAGCATGACCGTTGATACCCACTTGGATGTGGGCGTGTATGTCTTCTCAAAATATGAGATGCGATCCTTCAATTATAGCCTAGTAGTAGTAGTAGTAGTAGTAGTAGTAGTAGTAGTAGTAGTAGTA